GATTCATAACAGTAGCAAAATTACAGTTATGAAATAGCAACGAAAGTAATTTTATGGTTGGGTGTCTCCACAACATGAGGAACTGTATTAAAGGGTCGCGGCATTAGGAAGGTTGAGAACCACTGCACTAGAGCAGCGGTCACCAACCTTTCGGACCTCACAGACCACCAGTTGGCGACTGCTGCACTAGGTCCGAAAGGTTGGCGACCACTGGTTTAAGGAAACCTTTGGAGCAGTGGTTGCCAACCAGTGGTCTGTGGACCACTGGTTGTCTGTAAAATCCGAAAGGTTGGCAACCGCTGCACTAGAGGGCGGCAGAATTAAGCTACCAGCAAAGTCTGGATACATTGGCTGCCAGAATGTTACTTTCCTTTCACCTTGCTTGAAAATTTTAAATAATTGTTCTTTATGGTTGAAACTTTACTATTGCTGACTTCCAACCTTCATAAACTACAGTTACAAACATCAAGATAAAAAATGCAAATATAAAAAAATTAAAAAGCTAAAATAATATTGACAATTTATTTAATGTTCATAGGTATTTCAGTTGGTCACTAGACAGGAACAAAAATCCCACTGTATCTTCAATTCATTCAGTACAAATTGCCGAATAGATGGACTTTTATTTTATAATCTTTGCAAGGAAGGGAAGGGGTTCCTTAGACTTAAAGTTTAATAGCAAAGACTGGAAAAATAGCCATACCTAGAAGTCTAATAAATGACAACCCAAACCTTACTATCCAGTCAAGTACTCACTGAAATCCTGCCCCCACCAATTGTGCCTACTGTCTCACCTTACCCCATTAACAACTAAAGCTGAAGTGTACTGTTTTCTCTCGACTTTTTCACAAGACAAGTTTTGGATATTCAGAACTAATGACTTTTAATTCACTTAAAAATTTCTAACACTTTATGCATTAACAAAAACTGCTCCATCTATGTTGCACACAAATTGCACAATATGGCAAAATTGATGGTTTAAAGAGAATTCTTAATCAAGATTTTAGTAGAAAAGTGTAGTATGCTAGCTATAGGTATAACCAAAAATAATTATCTGAATTAATGTTATTAATTTTATTGAATTAAAACTTTATTTTTTAATTAAATTTATTGGGGTGACATTGGTCAACATGAACATATAGGTTTCAGGTTGAATTAAAACTTTTAAGCTTTGACTTACACTTTAATGATAGGTTCTAAGTTTGAGTTAGAACCTGTAAGTTTGAGATTTGTGAACTGACCACAAATCTATTTCCTTTTAGAGCTATGTCATTAGAATTAAAGGCATAAAAAAAGCTATACACAGTATAAGGTAAACAGATGATTTTTTAAAATATATTTTATTGATTTTTTACAGAGAGGAAGGGAGAGAGATAGAGAGTTAGAAACATCGATGAGAGAGAAACATCGATCAGCTGCCTCCTGCACATCTCCCACTGGGGATGTGCCCGAAACCCAGGTACATGCCCTTGACCAGAATCGAACCCGGGACCCTTCAGTCCGCAGGCGGACACTCTATCCACTGAGCCAAACCGGTTTCGGCCAGATGATTTTTAATGTTTGAAAGTTGAAGACTACATAAACGAGCGGCAGCTGACATGGCAGAAGAAAGGAGGGGAAGCACACCTTGGTGCCTACAGAGAGTGGCTGGGAAAGGAGTCAGAAAGCCAGTCTGTCTTACAGAACCCAAGGCAGGCTCAGAATTGGGCCCCCAAATTCTTGCAATGAAGCCCTGTCAGTTAAATAAAGTTCTGTTCACTCCTAGCACTTCCAGTTAGAGATCAAAGGCAGCCAGAGACCACCACACATCTGAGAGAAGCCAACCAGTAAGAGAGATGGAAACAGAATGGCTATTATCAACAAGACAGGTAATAACAAATGTTGGAGAGGATGTGGAGAAAAAGAAACCCTCATTCACTGCTGATAGGAATATAAACCGCCACTATGGAAAACAGTATTAGAGTTTCCTCAAAAAATAAAAGAACAGAGTTACCATTTGACCCAGCAACCCCTCTCCTGAGTATCTACCTCAAAACTTTAAAAACATTAATTTGCAATGATATATGCACCCCTATGTTCATTGCAGCATTATTCATGGTGGGCAAGACACGGAAACAATCCAAGTGTCCTTCAGTAAGTGAATGGATAAAGAAGTGGTACATGGAATACTACTCAGTCATAGGAAAAGATGAAGTTCTGCCATTTATGACAACATGGATATTATTATGCTAAGTGAAGTCAGTCAGAAAAAGCTAAGAACCATATTATTTCACTCATATGTGGGATATAAAACTAAAACTTATGGACACAGACAACTGTATGGTGGTTACCATAGGGAAGAGGTGGGGGAGGGAGGTAGTAAAGGGTAAAGGGGTCCAAATATATGGTGAAGGGAGATGATTTGACTTTGGGTGGTGGGCACACAGTGCCATATATCAACCAGGTATCATAGAAATGTACACTTGAAACCTATATAATCTTATTAACCAATGCCCCAATGAATTCAATTTTAAAAAATCTGAACTCATAAAAAAGTTGAAAGCATTTCCTAAAATCTCCATGCTAAGAACATCACATTTTTTAGTGATTACTTAATAGAGCAACTTAGACTCTATGGTATCAGCAAATGAGTTGTCCTGAATAAAATAAAACTACTACATAAAAAAAAGAAAATTAATGGGAATGATAACATTCAGAAGTAAATAAAAACTTAAAAAAAAATAATCCTTAACCTCAGAAAGGCAAAAAATTGTATTGGTAAAAGAACAAAATGCTATAAAAAAGAATGACAGGATATAAGAGAACACTATAAATTAAAAATAAGATAAACAAAACAAAGAATGATAAAAGGGTTGGAACATAGAGTCAAGGAAATTGCCAAAGTAGAAAAAGACAAAATGAAAAATAAGAGGGAAAAAATTTAGAGATTCCTGTAGGAATACTGCCCTAAGAGTTCCAAATTTCCAAATAATGGGGATAACTAGAAACAAGAAGGAATAAAGAATAATATAAAAGAAACAAAAATCCCCACCCTCACTGGTGTTTTTCAGTGGTGAGAGCATCCACCCAGCACCAAAGGGTCATGGGTTCAATTCTCAGTCAAGGGGCACGTACCTGGGTTGCAAGTCCAATCCCCGGCCTTGGTCAAGGCGCGGGAGGGAGGCAACCAATCGATGTCTCTTTCACATCGATGCTTCTCTCTCTCTCTCTCCCTCCCTCCCTCTCTTCCACTCTCTAAAAATCAATGGAAAAAATATCCTTGAGTGAGAATTAACAACAAAAATTTCCCTGAAAGTAGGTAAGACCTGCAGTCTTGATGACCACAATAAAATGAAAAGGTACATACCAAATCACATTATAAAATTTCAGAATCCCAGGAAGACAGAAGGTTCTAAAAGTGTCCAGAGAATAAAGGGATGAGGGAAATTACCAAAATTGGTAATATACAACATATCATACAATGACTTTGTCTCCAGAAAATAATAGAAACGTCTTTAGAACTGCAAAAATTAATTTCAACCTAGAACTCTGTACTTTATTAAATAGAAGGCATTTCAGAGAGGCTAGATCTCTAGAAAATGTCTTTCCATGCATCCTTTGCCAGGAAAAAGTGCTCCAATAAAACAAGGAAGTATAACAAAACAGAGGAAAATATACAACCTAGGACAGGGATTTTCAACCAGTGTGCCCACATGGCACACTGGTGTGCCACAAGAATTTTTAAAACATGCAATACCTGACTAGACAGGGGCACTGACCTCTTTTCCTTTAGATTGTCAAATAATAAAATGACAACAGAAAACACAACAACAGATGTCCTGTGTTAATGAATCAAAATTCCACCTGTTATTCTTTGTCAGATCAGCAAACAATATACTTTTTGGTGAGCTGCAGAATTGTAGTAATTACTTTATATATGCCATGAGGTGCAAAAGGTTGAAAATCACTGATCTAAGACATAGGGGATCCAACACAAGAGAACAGTTATGTGAGATCCCAGATGATCTTAAAGAAATAGGCCAGAAAAACAGGAACAGAACAGGCCTAGGGAAAACAAGTCTATACTAGAATAGGATAACAAAGGCTGGGGGAGACGGCTTCCACTAGAAAATGGAACAAATGTGTTCAGTAAATGGAAAATATTTTTGACAAAACTGTGACAAATGTTATACCATTTTCTGGGGGAAAAAACTATTAGCAAGCAGAAAGTGAATATAGTAAAAAAATTAATTCCACACACACACAAATGAGGACTTATTAGGTATTATGTTAATGTAGCATAAAAGTAGTATTCTGTCTGACAGTTATCTTTTTCAGCCAAATTACTAGATAATTAGGTACAAAATATGTTATTTTTGAAAAATGGGAGACCAGCCTACTTGCTGCGTTTGGCTGTGTGAGATCATGTTGACTAGGAAGAAGGGGGTGGATTATCGGGAGAAGTGTAGAAGTGCTCAAATTTCAGTAATATTTGAGAAAAAGAATGAAGGGTATACAAGAAAGAGGCAAAGCCAGAGAACTCTATGGCTCAGCAGTAAAAAATAGTCATAATCATGTAAACATTGATTCTGATTTAATAAAAACCATGATACATGTTGAGGGGACAGAGGGAGGGAAATAAGGCTATGCCAGAGGGAGAAAGTTAGCTTTCAGCTGCTATGACAATGAGTCAATAGATAGTGTTAAAAATTGACCTAGCTATTTTATTATTTATTTTGTTAAAAAAACAAGATTAAAAATTAAGGTAGATCTTTATACCATAACCATTTATTGACATTTAATGTAAAGTCAGAACTCCTTAAAAAATGGACATTACTAAGCCAAAAACTTTCCTAAATATGTAAGTTTAATAAGTAAGATAACAGAAGAGATTTAGAAAATCTACCAAAAAAGGTCTATGCTAATGATATTAGGTCCATTATATATTTTTAAAAACCATGGCAGACAATTATTAATTCAAATTATTAATTTCTTACTTAACTTTTCAACTGTTTACTTACATGGTATGAATAGTTCTTCTTCTTCTTTTCTCCCACTAAGAATAAAAAAAAATTTAACTGATCAATTATGATACAAATACCATAGGAAAACAAAAGTTTGTATGTTGAAAGACTACCAACATACAAAATATGACAAAATTTTATTCCATTTTTAAAAATAATTCTTAACAAAATTTATAATTTAAATCAGCTGGCAAGATGAGTCCCATAAAGTAAAATCTTAAAACTTTTACTTTTCTGACCTAACAAAAAAATATTCTATATTAGGTACAAATAAAAGTCTCTTCATGTACAAAAGAAAAGGGCAAAGCAAATTAGGCCAGTAAGAAACTTAGCTAATAAAGAAGTTTAACTGTTGTGCTTCTGAACCACTACTCAATTGCAGTGTCTAATTCTACATTTATACCCACTTTACTTGAATCATCAGGATCTAACAGTTGAGAGCTCTAAGAACCTGCCAGGCACCTGGAAGCATCCTAAACCACTGACTGGTAATCAACTAGGATATTTTACTAAGAAAATATGAATGGAGGGCATGTGCTGGGGGGTAGGGGAGACCGGGGGGAAGTCCATGGGGGAAAAAGAAGACATATGTACTACTATTTGTAATATTTTAAACAATAAATAAAATAAAATAAAATAAAATAAAGGAAAAAATAAAAATATGAATGGGTCTTTACTCAATTGCAAAGTAACTGATCTAATTTAAATTTTACAATGATGTGGCTAACCTAACTAAACATAAGTACAACACACAAAATCATTTTGCTTTAACAAAGATCAGAAGAAAAATAAAAGCTCCAAAGAGGGTCTTGGGCTGTACTGTTTCCCACACTGCCTCCTTTATTAGGCAGGACGGCATCATAGGCACACATTCCTTAGGACTGAAGATAGGGGCACGGGATAGCTTTTCCTTTACTGGCTCACCCTCTCTCTACACATGAGCAGAACCATGACTCTGGAAGAAACTGAGAAATACAACAATCCTAACCAAAAATGATCAGCTTCAGACAGTCAAAATGCACACATGCCATGAAAACAAGTGTTAAAACCCCATTTTTTATTGTGCTGCATGGCTTCAAATAAAATGGAACCGCCACTCCTTGTACTTCTGCTTTCATAATCAACTGAAAGATTTGATCATATATGCCTTTTTAAGCAAGTAAACTCGACTGAACATAACATTAAGGAAAATAAGCTGGCAAGCAGAAGTGTCAAAATCCTACACTGGTTCTTATCCTAACACAAACAGGACACAGGAAACTGGCAGAGTTGCACATGCTGGTGCTAAGCTCCTGGGGACCCCGTAGGGCTCTGTTCCTCTGATGCACCCTGGCAGCATGACATAGAGTGAGAGAGTTTGAATAGCTTAAGGGTTCTAGATGTGAGACAGGATCACTTGGTTGAGTGATATGTAAAATAAAGCCAAACTCACAAAGTCAATCCTCATAGATAGACAGCAGATATTTTTGATTTCTTCAAATAAAAACCTGTGACCTAAATCCTATCTTGACTTACCATCCATTTGAGATTTCTTCAGGAAAATTGTGCTTGCCTTTGGATGGTCAGAAGGGATTAATTCTAAAACCAACTCTATATAGGAAGAAGAGAAAAAAACATACTAATTTAGTTGAGTAGAAAATACATAATTTTAAAAATAGCTACACATCACTTTTAATCACTTATAACAGTGTTGGGAAGAGATTTTTTAAGTAATGGTAACAAGCCAATTTTAGTAAAGGCAACAATATAAAAATTCTACTGGGAAAATTCAAAATTGTAGAATCTTTCCATATATGTGGAATAAAACCAGGCTACGTTTTAGACCTTTTTTTTAACTTGTACCTAAGTAATCTCTGAACCATATATGTGTTTCCCACCTTCTACTTTATCAATTAGAAATACAGTCACTCTCTTTTATTTTGATATTACTAGCACATTCCAGAAAGTGTCAAGAAGCAAGTTATGCTATGGCCAATTAGTGTCAGATACCTGCTAGTATGTCAAATATGCCCAAATCACGTGAGCTGTTCTTGGCAAATGTTCTTTACACATTTAGGTTAATTCTAACTCCATTCAAAAAATGAACTTATTTAGTTAGTTGCAGCTTACTTGGGGCTATTCATCACGGCACATTTAAAAGGATAGCATAAAAGCTCAATGCTCTACTCTACTTTCATGGTAGTGACTTTTTATACTTTCATCAAAGTGATTTTTAAATTCTGCCCTCAATTTCCAAAGCTAAAGTTTCACTTCTTCCTTCCATGCCCCACGATTAATTTGAGACTTCAATAAGAATACGTCTGGACCTGACCCTAGGGCTGCTTGTACAAATGAAATGTGCTGTAACTATGTAAAGGTAGGTCTGCCTGCAGTCCACCTTGCATCAAGGTGGGACAATCTTCTATTTTGGCAGGAATACAAAACAACTACTTTTGAATTTTAATAATATAAAGTTTTTTCACACATCAACAAAAATGCATTTGGCACATCTATCACCCCCATGTCGGCCTCTTCTGTTCAGCGGCTGTGTTACACAGTCATTTCACATCTGTAGGTATTGATTTCTCCATCAGCAATAGAGGGAGAATATTCATGAGGCTTTATTTGCAGTTAGAAGGGCCAAATGAGATATACATGTAAGTGAGTTGTAAATCTTGAAAGAATTATATAAAGGTCCTAATTTGGTCTCTCATCCAACACGACTCATCTACCAACTGTTTATAAAATCACTCAGACAGAGGCTCACCTTACAGCACAAGCAGAGCAAGCAGAAGGTTTCACAGGTAATCACTTGCTTTGTGTTTAAAGGTGCACAATATGGAGTCTTAACTCCTAAGATTTTATGTTACAAATTAAAGCCTAAATTTATGCTCCTAATTTGTTCATTTTTTCCCCCACAATATTTGAGTATGCTGAAAAGGGAGTTTTTTTCAGTTAGAAAGCCACGTGCACCCAAGGGAATCCACCGGCTACTTTTAAAGAATTTAAAAGCTCAACTAAAGTTTAAATAGAATAAGAGCTAATAATACATTTTCTCTATGAAATAATGGGGTTTTAACATCTTTGTGAAAGAATATTTTCTACTTAAAAAAACACAGTCTTGCCCTGGCTGGCGCAGCTCAGTGGTTAGAGGATCGGCCTGGGCACCAGAGGGTTGAGGGTTTGATTCCCAGTCAAGGGCATGTACCTGGGTTGCAGGTTCATTCCCAGGCCCTGGGGTGGGGTGTGTGCAGGAGGCAACCAATCAATATGTCTCAAATCAATGTTTCTCTCTCTCTCTTTACCACCCCTTCCTTCCACCCTCTCTAAATATCAATGGAAAAAAATATCCTCCAGTGAGGATCAACACAAACAAAACAAAACAAAACACAACAAAAAGCAACACAGTCTTTGTTAGCTACGTTGTTATCCAGAATTATTTTAAATCAATTATTTCCTATTTTCTTCCTCTCTCCTTCCTCTTCTCCACTCCCCCTCCCCCCCGCACCCCTTTAGGCATCCGGTCTTTAGAACCTTTACCTCAACATTCTTACAGTTAAACAGGCATCTACTGGCAGGAGGGGAGAGGATGGAGAGGGAGCCATGGAGACAAATATTCTTGTGCACGATATGGTGTCTTAACTCCCAAGACTTTATGTTACAAATTAAAGTCTAGAGTTATGTGTCTTCTCTTTTGAAACTTTTGACCAGCACTTTTGTGAGCCACCCCACCCCTCCTTTAGAACAAATAATATGAAAGTGAAGTCTGTTAAGTCACTGAAGTAAGACTGAAGACATATTTGTGTCAAAGTAGATATATTAAAGTAATCAGAACTCTGCGGGTTCTCCTTTGTGTAAAAAATAAACAAAAAATGATTCTCTGCAGCACTGGCAGTAACATTTCACATCATGCACAGTTCCTTCTCCCACCATTTCCTTCTGCGTTCAAATTATAGTTGGAAGGAATAAAGCAGCTTCTATCCAGGCAACTGAAAACAGCTTACTTAAAAACACCATATAGGTTCTATGTTGGTTATCTGTTTTGAATTTAAATAAAAAACCCTAAAATCTTTGCAGCTGAACTGTCCCAAAGATCAATTATCTTAGCAGGTGGGAGCAAGGGTATCACCAGGCCTTACCTGGTTCCTTCACTTAGGTGCCACATGGATAGGTAAGGACAGGGAGATGGATGGATACTCTGAGGTTGGGGTATTAAGTTTTCATTGAGAAAAGGAAGAAAATACACCCAGAAGTCTTCATAGAGTCCCAGGAGACACTAAACAGAGCCATGCACGAACAGGAAGGGCCACTGACTGGACTGTCTCAGGCTGAGTTGGGAACAGAAGAAAGAACCAGGGGTTTGGGTAGTGAAAAGGGAAAGAAACTGGCCAGACATGACCAGAAAAGAATAAGGGGTGGGAAGGCCAAGAAGAGCCAGCTCTTGGAAACCAGCTCCAGGCAAGGAGGAGCCTGATGGTGGCTCCCTTCTAGGAAATCCTGGGGTCAGGGGAGGCCAGAGGTACGCCTGAGAACATCAAACACCTGCCAGCTCCTTACCTTTGGGCATTTCCAGGTCACCGAGGCACAGCACAGGGTGGCCCTCGCAGGCTTGGAAATCCAACTCGGCAGGTTCCAGGGCAGTTGGGGCTGGTGGTGCTGCCACGGAGTTCCTGGTGCCCGCCACACAGACACCAGACTCATCATCCCGATTCACCCACCCAGAGTGCTGGCCCAGCTTGGGGCTGGCATTGGACTTCAGGCAGCAGGTCAGTTTGTTCCCCATTAGGAACTTCCACTCCTGGCTGCTGCCACCGCCTTCGCTCAGCAGTCCCCTCCACCCCCGCCTGACCACGCCACGCTGGTGTCAGCTGCTACTGCCTCCACTAAGTTGACTAGTCTGTGAGGATGGTAAGCAGCCTGACTTATTTAAAAGGTGTGGTGATCAGACAACTGCTGAGAATGACAACCACTTCAAGAGGAGAGCACAGCCAAAGCTGCTCCTCCCACAGTTGCTTCTCAACTGAAGGCAGTTCTCCTGGCTGGCACCAGCCAACCAGCACACATTCTGTGGTCACCTGATTACAAGGGACCAATGATGCCCAGAGTTCCCTCCATGCACCTTACAGAAAAGGCCCTGCAGCCACTCCACCCCACTCCCCTTGCCAAGCGCACACACTTGACCCAGTCTTGGGTTCCATCCATAATTTCCTAAACATAGTCAAATGTTATCAGGAGAACAGGAAAGCTACAAATGCCATTGGCTATGGCGACTGGGTGAAGAAGTGAATAGGAAGTGAGAAAGTGAAGAAAGCAACTAAGGGCTTCTCTTTCCAAGTGTTTGGCTGAGAAGAGAGATGTGGTAGTAGGAGAAAATACTGTTAGGATTTTTTATTTTAAGATGAAAAAATATGAGTATACTTATATGTTAAAGGTAAGAGTCAATGGAGAAAAAAAATCTGAAGTAAGAGAAGGGACAATGAATGGAGCAAGGCCCCCAAATAAGCAGAAGTAGATGCCTCCTGAGCAGGGATAGGTTAGCTTTGGAACAATAGAAAAACAAAGAGGGAGAAGAACATGACCACAGACACATTTCTGGTAGAGGAGAGATTTAGAAAGACTTTATTTGATGACCTCTATTATTCTTTATTTTAATATATGGAAAGCACTTGGCTGGTATGGCTCAGTGGTTGAGTGTTGACCTATGAACCAGGATGTCACAGTTCAATTCCCAGTCAGGGCACATGCCTGGATTGCAAGCTCAATTCCCAGTAGGGGACATGCAGGAGGTCGATCGATTATTCGCTCTCATCATTGATGTTTCTATCTCTCCCTCTCCCTTCCTCTCTGAAATCAATAAAAATATATTTAAATATATATATGGAAAGCTATTCTGGGAAGGAGAGGATAATGTGTAGAGAAGTATACACTTCGAAAACCTCAAAACACTTAATGAAAACCAAATATCTTTCCTCAAAGGTGGGTAGGTTGAAAAGAAATTTGAACCAAAACCAAGGAGCTCTACTATAAATAGGTATGTCACAAAAGTAGAAAGAAGGCTAATTATTTCTCCCAAATAATTAACAAATTTGTTAACCTGATGAGGTGGCACCAATTGGGAGAGATCTAGATCAGCAGCCTGGTGCTACCATTTGCTATACAACTGTTAGCAAGTATCACTGTGACAGGCTTCTCTCAGTCAGTACTTACATTTAGTTATTGTAGGGAATGGCTATAGGGTCAAGCCTCGGACTGACCTGTGGCAGGGCCACAAACAAGTCCCAGCTTGGAGGGCAGAGCCCTCCAGCATAATTAAGCCTGACCTTATAGTCCTCCCTAGTTCCTTCCTAGGTAGCTAATGGGCTGTGGGAGGTGCAGCAAGTGCTGCCAAACAAGGTGAAACTCACAAGAACATTGTAAACATGTTGACCACTACCCTTGTTTTGCTTTGCGTGCTCTGACTATAAAATAACGCTTCTGCTTGCAGGCTGGGTGTCTGTGTCAGAGATCCACCTAGCCCCAGCTGTATTCTCTTTGTCTTCTTTAATCCTTCACAGCCCTTCCTCAGGCTCACCGAACCTGGCCGTGCTGAGTGCGGCACAAGTTATGTTCTGTTTCACACATAATTTTAACTATCCCATGTTAACACCACTAAAGTCACACCAACAAACTGCACAGCATGACAGATTAATGACAAGTGGAAAATAAGTATGAGTGCCACTTCCATAAAATTTCAAGCTCCCATAAAACTTCAACTCCAATTTGAGGCACTCTAGTGTGTCAAGTCTGACCCTCACCAGCTCCACTTGCCAATTATTATGAAAATGCAGTTGGCACACACATGGGTTTCTGAGCATGTGGGCCACTCCTGGAAGAGCTTGGAAGCCCCTCCAGTGAGTCATGGCCCAGAATTAAACCTGCATGTGATTACTCCATAAGCAAGGATTCTGTCACTCACCATTCCTCCTCCACACTGGCACTCAGAGAATACTTCAAGACAACACATGATGCTGAAACTCAGCCAGTCTCAACTCCAGCTGCAAACCAGACCAGAGGGAGGGCTTTGAAAAAGTTAGGCATGTTCAGGCCCCACCAGACCCTGAATCAGAATCTCTGGGGTATATCCTAAGCATCAGTGCGACTTTGAAATTGGTTATTATTATGCCCACCCAGGTTGAGCCCCACTGGGAATGCTTTTGTTCCTCCCAAGACTGTGAGGCAGACAGTTTAACACACTCTACATTACAAATGGAATACTTAAAATATTATTGCTTCCACATCACACAACTTCCACTTCTATAACAGGCAAGGAACCTTGGGGATGATGGATGACTAGCCATCTGTGATCTCATTTTCCCGACCATGCAAAATTGTAACACCTGGTGTCACATCTCCAGGTTGAAGGAAGTGCAATGAAGGAGTGAGTGTGCCTTCTCCTCACTGTTCCTCCAGCTTAGGGTTGAGAAACCTTCTAAAAGTGGGGCTGATATTAAAGTTAGCAAAGCAGCTGCTGCCACCAAATATGGGGGTGTTCCTCTGGCACATTGCCATGACCAAAAATGAGAGCTAAAAATGGTTCATCCCAACAATGGCCTTCTGCTCAAATCACAGTCACCAGACTAAGCAAATAGAAATGCAAGACACCAATCATGTTTGAATTTCAGAGGAACAATAAATAATTTTTAAGTGTAAATATGTCCTGTGCAATATAGGGCATCCTTTGCACTAAAAATGTATTCATGGATTATCTGAAGTGTCACTACACTGAATGTCCGGTATTTCATCTGACAACTCTACCAGTACCTGCCCCAAAATAAATGGTCTAGCTTTATTGCTTTCTGTTGCTTTGTTTCTGGAAAAATGGACGATGGTATTACAAGATAAGAACATTTGAAAACTTCATGTTTGTCTCCAACAACATAACAATGCTTTGGTATTCATAGACACAGGCACTACCTAGAATCCTATATAATCCTACATAATAAAGAGGTAATATGCAAATTGACCTTCACACCTTCGCACAAGATGGCCGCGCCCATGTCATCACAAGATGGCTGCCACAAGATGGCCAGCAGGGTAGGGCAGTTGTGGGCCATCAGGCCAGCAGGTGAGGGCAGTTGGGGGGCGACCAGGCCTGCAGGGGAGTGGTTAGGGGGTGATAAGGCTGGCAGGCAGAAGCAGTTAGGGGCAATCAGTCAGGCAGTCGAGCAGTTGGGAGCTAGCAGTCCCGGATTGAGAGAGGGATGTCAGACTGCCCGTTTAGGCCCGATCCCTGTGTGCCTAAACCGGCAGTCAGACATCCCTGAGGGATCCCAGATTGGAGAGGGTGCAGGCTGGGCTGAGGCACACCCCCCCAGTGTATGAATTTCATGCACCGGGCCTCTAGTAAGATATAAGCAGAATGTCCCTTTCTCCCAGTGACTTTTCAAAGAACTGAGTTCTTCAGCTCTGAACAAAGGACTCAGCAGAAGGGAACTTCATTATTAGCCATAGCAGAGCAAATTCATCAACCAAAGGAAGCACTGAACTCACACTTTACACCTCATCCTTCCCCCCTCCCCCTCAAAAAAACAAAAAAACTTCAAGGAATTGTGAGTAGAATCCAAAAAGGGATGAAATTTTATCCACTAATCTTGTAATTATGAAATTCTATTTCCTGTTTTTGCACCTGGAAGAGAGAGTAAAGCCACAGTAAAAAAGGGAGAAGAGAGAAGCAAGAAAAGTGGCATAATCAGATTTGCTCTCAACAAACAATGGCTGAGGACCAGCAGAGTGAGAGGCAGCTCTGGCCTCCAGGAGAGACTGCTGGATTATGGGTGAGTACACACACTTCTCAACACAGGGAAGTGTTTGGACAAAGTTTTCTGCTGTACCCTCACCAGCTAGAACAGTGCCTGGCACACAGAAGCACTCAATCAGTATTTGTTGAATAAACAGTGAAGGTATGCACTCACACCTGGGGAGAGACAGGGAAACCAGAGATGGCTCCTCAAAGGCAGGGATGCCTGGTGTTTTAGGAAGAGTAAAATGAGTTAGTCAGGCCAAAGCATTCCAGGAAGGAGGAGTGGCTTGCGCCAAGGCACACCAGCGTGAGACTGCTGGACTCCCACGGGTGAAGACACCCAACAAACAGCTAAAGCACAGGTTGTTGTTCACAAGGGAGGTCTGGATGGGGACAAGATCTGGGAAACTGAACACCCCATGTAGACAGGATGCTCGGGGGTGAGGGTGGGGGAAGGGAGGAGGGTTCAAGGATGAACCCACATCTTCCTCTTAAGGGGAAGTGAAGGAGAGGAGGGACCTGAAGGACACTTACGAAGGGCAGTCCTAGCAGGAGGAGCCAAGCCACAAGAGTCTACTGCCACAAAAGCTGGGACAGCATGTCATGGGCATGGAGGTACCATTGTCAAAGGGGAGATAAAGCAGAGCATTAAGGAGTGAACTCGGGGAGGAGGAAAAGGGGTGAGTGTGGATAGCAGCTTTTCTGGCAATAAATGGAAGAAATGAATTGTTTGAGGGGGCTATGGGGCCAAGAGAGTGCCATTTCACAGGTATGTCCTTATGGTGAGAGAGGCCTTAAGACCCATAAGATGAAGAGATGGAGCCACAGGCAGGGAGACACTGACTACATACCTCAAACTACAAGTTGAATGCTATGCACTAGGACTAGGGGATGTCTTTCCTCAACTTCCTCTCCTTTGTATTCCCTCCAGGAGCCCCATACTCCTTACAGCACAAACAAGCCATGGCCCAGCTGGGTCTTGGGACCACTCCTGAGCACCCTGG